GCCTCCGCCGGCGCCGCCTCCGCCGGCGCCGCCTCCGCCGTCGTCCCCCCCGTACCCCACCATCGCCGCCAGCAGCGGCCGCCGCTCCAACCACCACAGCAGCGCCTTCCCGTCCTCGCCCCCTATCAGCAGCGCGGGGATGTCCACGCGCCGCCCCGTCCCGTCGTCAGACATGGCCACCATGCCGCCGTCCTCAAACACGTTGACCACTATCAGCCCCACCGCGCCGGCCGCCTGCATGGCCAGGGCCTTCTGGACGAATGAGCAGCCGCCGCGCAGCACCACCGCGAAGCTGCCTTTGACGGCGGTCGCGCCGCCGCCGCCGGAGCCGCGCGGGGCGGAGCAGCCGTCCGGCGGGTCGGGGGCGGCGAGGCGCAGCGCGGGCAGGCGGCGCAGGCGGCCGCAGGGGTGGCGGCGCGCGTCGGCGCTGTTGAGGGCGGCCTCTGGGAGCCACGACCCGGGGCCGGGGCCGCAGGGGTCGTAGCCCGCACAGGCCAGCGCATCGGCAGCGGCGAGCGGGTCGGACGCCAGCCACTGCCTGCCCACCTCGCGCTGCAGCAGCTGCTGCGCCTGCAGCGCCTGCAGGTGCTGCTGCAGCCTCCGCTCCTGCTTGCCCAGTGCCGCCAACACCTGCTGCTGCAGCTGCTGCAACGCACCGAGCGCGGTGGGTCCCTGCAGCAGCTGCTGCTGCTGCTGCTGCTGCGACTGCTGCGGCGGCTGCTGCTGCTGCTCCTCTTTGTCTTCCTGCTGATCATGTGGCTGCTCCGTCTGCTGCTGCTGCCGCAGCTGCTCCTCCTGCCGCTGCAGCTCCTCCTGCCGCTGCTGCTCCTCCTGCCGCTGCCCCCCCTGCCGCTGCTGCTCCTGCTGCTGCTGCTGCTGCTGCTGCTGCTGCGAGCATTGCTGCACAGATGCGCTGTCACCCTGCTGCCGCCCCTGCTCCTGGCCTGGTCCGGCCCCCCCTGTCCCCCCGCCAAGTCCTCCAGGAGCCCCAGACAAAGCCAGCAGCTTCACTTTGTCGCTGCTGCCGCTGCCCTTGCTGCCGCTACCACTGCCGCCCCCGTTGCCGCTGCCGTCAGGTTTGCTGCTGCCGTCCCCGCCCGGTGATGCATCATGACCCAGCAGCAGCTCGCACCGCGCCGCGCTCGGGCAGCGCCCTGCCTCCGCCGGCGCCGCCGCCCCCCACCACGTCCCGCGCGGCGCGCACGCTGCCGGCTGCGTCCACGCGCGCTCGACCACCTTAACCAGATCGCGCATGCAGCGGCCGTCGACGCGCGGCGGTTGGGGGCCGAAGGAGGCGCGCACGGCGTCCATGCGCATCGTCATGGGACCGTCCTCGGCCTCGAGTGACACCAGCAGGGCCGCGGCGGCCTCGGGTGGGCTGGCCGGCTCGTCGTCTCCCTCCAGCTGGTCTGGCGGGCCGCGCGACAGCTGCGCGTTCGGGC